GGAATCCAAGAAGATTGTGGGGTTATATAAGTATAAAAATGAATGAATGTAAATATATTTGCACTTACTTACCCTGATCTGTATTTGCCATTTTGAAACTGTTTCTGTACTTTTTTTAAAAAAAAATTATCCTAAATAGTTTCGTTCCATCAGTACATTTAACTACCCTGAATCTGGGTTTATTTATTGAAAAAACTAAAAAGTATTATCATATACTGATTGCTGGGGGACCTTTGTATAGGTTAGCAGAGTGAAAACTGGAGAACATGGAGCTTGTAGGCATGTTGGGTGGATATCATACTAATAAATAAAATAAAAAGTAAGGTTAGAAGGGTGACAAATTGATCTGCATTAGGAAAAATTGTTAATACGTGCCGGTATTTAAGAATTTACTTCTACGTTAGGGCAACAGGTATAAATATTACAGAATAAGCAAAACCAAAGTACTGTGCTTTCTAATCATGGTTTTCATCTCAAAGTAAATTACAGCTGTTGGGGAAAATGGGGAGAAATACAGTACAGAATTTCTCCCTTCTGCAGTAGCTATCATTTCAAACTGAATTTATGGCAAATGAATATTAATTATTCATCTGTGTCTAAATTAGTGTTTCTCCACCTTGGCAACTTTAAGATGGGTGGACCTCAACTCCCAGAATTCTGGGAGTTGAAGTCCACCGTCTTAAAGTTGCTGAGGTTGAGGAACCCTGGATTAAAACATTACATCACTGGAAACCTGATGATGACTCCAATTCTGGGAGTTGAAGTCCACACATCTTAAAGTTGCCAAGGTGGAGAAACACTGGTCTAAATAGTGTTTTCCCCTTTCCTCCTCAAAACCCAGTTTCTGAAGTCTTTCCCTCTTTTTATCTTTAGCCAAGAGGTACACAGTTGGGATTTCCTATTCGGCAGGACAAGGCCTCACCCCTTCCTTAAAGTCTTGCTCCTCAGAGAAAAATAAGAGGAGATGGAAGTTGCTTTTGGCAAGAACTGGTTCACTTCTAGTGATGGTATTTGATAGACCAGGTCCCCAATCTGTCACTGCTCAGGTACTTTTGGTGCTCTGTTGCACAATGTGATGAGGAAGGGAGAAGAAGCTTAAATCTCCCATCCTTGTCATCTTCTCCACAACATTCACCTCCATAGCTGGAAAACAGCTGTGCATCAGGAAAAAAAAAAAAAGACTGCTGTTAAGGTATTTTGCAACTTTTTGAAAAAGTGGAGTAGTGTAAAAGAAATATCTATGTATTATTGCCATATTTAATAGATGATGGGGTTCACTAGGGCTTTTCCCACTAAAGTCATAGCTGAGCCAGCACGTTCCAGATGCATTTTGGGCCAAACCAGATGAGCCATAAAATATATTGTTGAAGAAAAGCACTGATTTCTCTTTTTGTTCTAATCATAGTTTTAATTAAAATTAGTCCCCCACTTCCCATCTTTTTTATTGGGATTACAGTGCAGGAGGACAACAGTTTAACCCTTCCTCCTCTGTTAGTCCACACATGCGTAAACGCATCAAGCTGCTATTAAGCCCTATTAGCATTAATGTCTAAATAAAATAAATGAAATTCCAATGCGCACATCTTCAGATAATGCTGAAAACTGATTCAGAGCTGCAGTATCTGATTCTTGTTTTCAGCAACAAAAGCAATCTGATGGCCAAACCAGATCCAGGAGGAGATTTATCTAAAAAATAAAACACAATGAAAATAAAACAACTTTAAAAGGAATAGGCAAGCAGGAAATTACAAAAGCAAAAAGAGGACAATTTTTGAAACTTTTCACCACACAATTCTCCCAATAAAATTTGCACCCGTCACTTTGTGGCAAATCCTCTTCTTCAATCCCACAACAGGGTCCCCCAAAGCAACTGGTAGTGACTCTATAGTGAGAGACTTGAACAGATGGATTTCAATATTTCTTTTCTTAAAAAAAAGCAAAATTTTTCCATATAGTTCCATACAATGAGACACCTGGTAAAAACAATGTTCACACCATTATAATTCCACCAGACCCAGTAGGAATCTGGGTTCAGCTGCTGCCTAATTCTTGATTTGTTAGCTAGAGATGTAGAGATGGCATATTTTGCTGCACTGGGCAAAGCAACTAGCTTTCACATTCTCTGTATTCTATAAAACAGATTGGGTAGTGCTCAAGAGAAAAGCAGCAACAATAAGGACCTGCCTAACAACATCCCGTCAGAATACCAAGATGATCCCTCTCCAATGAACTCCAAATACATGCTGAAACCTAACAGCCTTTCAAGCAGGTAATAAACAATTCAGCTAGCTGACTATACTGATTTTTGGAATTCCCTTTATGTGATTACTGTACTGCTCTCCTGTTTTTCTCCTTTCCAAGTAAACTCCAGTTTATATCTACAGATCTAACTTCATTGGTTTAAGAAAGGAATTTCTCATTAAACTTCCTTATGTGCATACTGCAGGGTCATTTACGGAGTTACCCCTTGTGTTCTAGGACTGGCACAAAGTTTGTTTCATTTTATATTTTTGGGCTTTAGGAAGGACAATCCCAAACATTTTCATTCCTAGTTTTCTAGAGCCGGGCTGAAGGAAGAAATCTTTACTGGAAAGGAACTGCCTAGCTAGACAGATGAAAGGGTGTCAGAAGGTTCAGCCTGACTGGAGGGAGCCTAATATAATTATCTTTTAATGGGGAACCCCTGAAAAAATCAGCCAGCCAGGTAGATTTTAAATTACTCCCTCCTCCTCCCCAGTTTGTAGCACCCCTCTCATACTTCTCCTTTTTCTCTAAGGAAATCAGAATGGGGAAAAGGAAAATTCACTCCAAAGCCGTTGTCTCAGCCCAGTCTCTTCTGCATGTACAATCAACAAAGTTGTGAGACCAGACAAGATGTTGCCTGAGGGCTGGGTTTCTTATGGAACTCATTTTTAAGGCAAATGTCTTAGGAGGAAGTGAACCAGTAGCAGATCTTCTGAACCTATAACATGCTGCAACTTGGGAATCTGAGAACAGAAAGCATATGGCTCATCTTTTGGCATTTTTTCCCCCAAACTTAAACTTTGTTAAGAGCATTCTTCTTTTTTCCCCTCCGTCCTGTTGAATTTGCAGAGTTTAAACTATAACCCAGTGTTTTTCAACCTTGTCAACTTTAAGATGTGTGGACTTCAACTTCTAGAATTCCCCAGCCAGCATGCTTGACTTGATGTGACAGCAAAAGGGTGGGGAAGAGCCACTCTTGTTTGCATCATCCAGGAGAACCATCATCTACGCCAGTTAATGACTGAGCCCACACAGCACCCACAAGGCTCACCCAAACCCATGGTTAGCATAACCATGGTTTACTCAAGTTAATGTTCTGGTGGGCATGGTTTATGGATCCCAAAACTCACCCCACAGGTTGGGTTTGCACAACATGGAGCATCCATTGTGGCTGTGATTCAAGGAGTGGTGTGAATACCCATAAGAAATATTTATAAATGTATATCAATGTTTTAAATACATACATACAACCTAACTCTTGTGGTTTCCCAGTGGGGAAAATAAGGTTTATAGTGGTCAATCCTGGACATATCTATTCTCAGAAGGTCAAGGGGATATTTCCAGCGTGAACAGCTTAAAACCCCCCCAATAAACTTCTTCCCCCCTTTTGAAGCTACCAGCGAGACAGCTGTCACGGGGCCAAATGAAGGCCACTCCCATTCTCGCTCCTCTCTACTCCCAAGATGGGTTTGGCACTTGATTTCTCAAA